GTACTCAGAAGAGTACAAGAGGGTGTTCCTAGACAGAGACAGAACACAAACAGAATGACAGCAGCTGAGGGAGAGGACAAAAAAGTGAAAGGAGCTAGGAAAGGAGACAAGGACGGAACCAGCAGTGGTCAGTCAGAGCAGGACAGAGCAGCATGGGCAAGCACACACAGAACCATCCTCAGAACCCTACAACCTATCACACCATCCCAACACTACAATCTACAATCCATACTCACAGCTTCCACCCAACACACAGCTATAGAATCCCACAGTACACTACCAGGTCTCCCACCCTCGCAGCCCCCCCCAAACCACAGTGTTGGAGAGGAAACTGAAGGTATGGTACACCAGTCTTGATGGAATAACAAATGAGTGGGAGGAGTGGCACGAAAGAGTCAAAGAGGCATCACCGGACTTCATAGCTCTCACAGAAACCAGTTAATGAGATGATGGAATATGTAACAACCATGTGCAAGGAGGCTGAGGAGAGGTTTGTACCCAAGGGTAACAAGAATAATGAAAAAGCCAGGATGAGCCCATGGTTCACCCAAAGGTGCAGGGAGGCAAAAACCATGTGTGCTAGGGAATGGAAGAAATATAGAAGGCAAAGGACCCAGGAGAATAAGGAGAGCAGTCATAGAGCCAGAAATGAATATGCACAGATAAGAAGAGAGGCCCAACAACAATATGAAAACGACATAGCAGCGAAAGCCAAATCTGACCCAAAGCTGTTATACAGCCACATCAGGACGAAAACAACAGTCAAGGACCAGGTAATCAGGCTAAGGAAGGAAGGAGAGACAACAAGAAATGACCGTGAAGTATGTGAGGAACTCAACAAGAGATTCAAAGAAGTGTTCACAGAGGAGACAGAAGGGGCTCCAGAAAGACGGAGAGGTGGGGTACACCACCAAGTGCTGGACACAATACACACAACCAAGGAAGAAGTGAAGAGGCTTCTGAATGAGCTAGATACCTCAAAGGCAATGGGGCCGGATAACATCTCTCCATGGGTCCTGAGGGAGCAGAGGTGCTATGTGTATCCCTAACAACAATATTCAATACATCTATCGAAACAGGAAGATTGCCTGAGGCATGGAAGACAGCAAATGTAGTCCCAATCTTTAAAAATGGAGACAGACATGAAGCACTAAACTACAGACCAATGTCACTGACATGTATAGTATGCAAAGTCATGGAGAAGATTATCAGAAGAGTGGTGGAACACCTAGAAAGGAATGATCTCATCAATAGCAGCCAACATGGTTTCAGGGATGGGAAATCCTGTGTCACAAACCTACTGGAGTTCTACGACATGGTGACAGCAGTAAGACAAGAGAGAGAGGGGTGGGTAGATTGCATTTTCTTGGACTGCAAGAAGGCATTTGACACAGTTCCACACAAGAGATTAGTACAAAAACTGGAGGACCAAGCAGGGATAACAGGGAAGGCACTACAATGGAACAGGAAATACATGTCAGGAAGACAGCAGCGAGTCATGGTACGTGGCTAGGTGTCAGAGTGGGCACCTGTGACCAGTGGGGTCCCACAGGGGTCAATCCTAGGACCAGTGCTGTTTCTGGTATTTGTGAACGACATGACGGAAGGAATAGACTCCGAAGCGTCCCTGTTTGCAGATGACGTGAAGTTGATGAGAAGAATTCATTCGATCGAAGACTAGGCAGAACTACAAAGGGATCTGGACAGGCTGCAGACCTGGTCCAGCAATTGGCTCCTGGAGTTCAACCCCACCAAGGGCAAAGTCTAGGGGGCCAGAGACTACAAACCTCACTCAAGGAAAAAGATCTTGGGGCGAGTATAATACCAGGCACATCTCCTGAAGCGCACATCAACCAAGTAACTGCTGCAGCATATGGGCGCCTAGCAAACCTCAGAACAGCATTCCGACATCTTAATAAGGAATCATTCAGGACCCTGTACACCGTGTACGTTAGGCCCATATTGCAGTATGCAGCACCAGTCTGGAGCCCACACCTAGCAAAGCATGTAAAGAAACTAGAGAAAGTGCAAAGGTTTGCAACAAGACTAGTCCCAGAGCTAAGAGGTATGTCCTACGAGGAGAGGTTAAGGGAAATCATCCTGACGACACTGGAGGACAGGAGAGATGGGGGGACATGATAACGACATACAAAATACTGAGAGGAATTGACAAGGTGGACAAAGACAGGATATTCCAGAGATGGGACACAGCAACAAGGGGACACAATTGGAAGTTGAAGACACAGATGAATCACAGGGATGTTAGGAAGTATTTCTTCAGCCACAGAGTAGTCTGGAAGTGGAATGGTTTGGGAAGCGATGTAGTGGAGGCAGGATCCATACATAGCTTTAAGCAGAGGTTTGATAAAGATCACAGTTCAAGGAGAGTGATCTAGTAGTGGCCAGTGAAGAGGTGAGGCCAGGAGCTTGGACTCGACCCCTGCAACCTCAACTAGGTGAGTACAACTAGGTGAGTACACACACACACACACACACACACACACACATAGTCACAGAGTTGTCAAGAGTTGGAATAGCCTGGGTAGTGATGTATTGGAGGCAGGATCCATACATAGCTTTAAGAGGTGTGTTAAAGCTCATGGAGCAGGAAGAGTGACTGGGTAGAGGCAAAATGAAGAGGTAGGGCCAGGAGCTGTGACTTGACCCCCGCAACCACAACTAGGTGATTACATATATACATATATATTTATATATCTAGCCTCTCCTCACTTAGCGACGTACTCGTTTACCAATGACTTGGACTTACGACGAGCTCTCTGACCAGTATGCACACCTAAATAATGTATATTAGAGCTCAGTGCCTCTATTCAGTTTATTACAATATACAGTACACTACTGTATAAACATTTAAAAATATGCCAGAAATGTTATAAATGGTGCAAAGGTGACATTAAAACAATATTAAAGATGGTTGACACAACCCACTACCATTAGAGTATGCTCCTCACTTAGCGATGAATTTGTTTACCAATGTGGTCTTAGGAACAGAACTCCGTCGTTAAGTGAGGAAAGGCTGTACTTTATCCACAACGCCAGACCCCAGAAAAGTATGGGTGCCTAGCCGAAGCTAGACGATGTTTCCCCATACCCCGGGAAGTGATCCTGTGCTACTCTGGCCTGTCTCATGGGAAGCCAATCAAAGTTCGAGATGCTCTACCCACTGGACCATGCAATCTTACAAACATCATGCACCCAGTGGAACTGGGCATGTTTCATGATGCCAGGATATACGTGGCCATAGTAAGTATGCACATACATGTACTATGTACATATATGTGCATACTTACTCAAGTTATATAATGAAGGCACTTCACAATGCCTCCCATGCTAACTCTTGAATTCAACTGTTTGATAACTTTAAAAATGCTTGGTGTGCATTGAAAACAATGTGCTGGGACTGATGGTGTCTTCTCTGCTCTTAAAACCTTTCCCATGCATCCCACACAAAATGGTCTAAAACTCCCATAATATTCATTAATTACATAACATACTTCACTAAAGTGGTTTGTGAATTACTGTCACTTTACTAGGAGTCATTTAACTGATGATTTAACAGTTATGAGGACATTGGCGCCTTACTTTTGAAGCAGTCCCATCTCCGAAATTAAAGTGCCGACCAGTTCACCAAGTTCATACGCTCTGGGCTTCTGCCAGCTTCCTATAAGAGATGGGTCTCCTATTCCCATTATACTTTAATTTCTCCCTGCATTATTAGCAGTCATTTAGACAAACTATTTTATGTGTAAGTAAAGAATACTCATTTGATGTCTTAATGAATTTGGCAAAAAATTATGATTGGTACATTGGACCTTGTATCACCAGTCTAATTTGCTGATATCTACTGCCAATATGCCAGTGGTTTTATTATTAATATTACATTTATGGGGGAGAGCTAAACCCATAAGGGTCAGTGGTTTTATGATGTCACTGCTAATAGGGAACTCTGACATAAATCTGGGTGTCAATATCACGACCGTGGTGGGAAACCTGAGACAGTCAAAAGTACAAATCAGCTGATCTACCTTAGTAGGTCAGCTGTGTTGCATAGGTTTTGGAGTTATAGCTTGCATTAGCTTTGGAGTTATGGTCTTCTTTCAACAAACCAGCCATATCACACAGAGGCAGGGTGACCCAAAAAGAAAAACGAAAGTTTCTCTTTTTAAATTTAATAATAGTATATATATATATGTACAGAAGAAGGGGTTACTAGCCCCTTGCTCCTTGGAGTTATGTTATTATTATTATAATCAAAACTAAGTGCTAAACCACCAGGGTTTTGGAGTCATAGCTTGCAGGTGATCTGCACACTCCACAGATGGATACTGTTGAGTGGTAACATGGGAAAGGACTACAAATCCAAAACTTGAATAGAATTGTGCATGCTGGTAAACTGTAATAGGCGTTATATAGTTTGAAGCTGTGACAAGTTGCCATCTAGGTAAGCATCTTGGATGCAGACAATGCTTACTCCATTGTGAGTGCATGGAATGAAATGTTAGTCAAAGTTAAGAGCACATATGCAGTGTTATGATCATATCATTATGGCATTCATGGGGGAAACACTAAACCTGTAAGGGTCATATAGCCTGGGGGTATAGAAGGCATTCAGGTTGTCCAAGGAAGAAGAGCACAGGTCCAATTCCTTAGATCAAGAGCCTCTAACCAACATCTAGGAACCTCCCTTGAGGGGGATGTGATCATGAAACACTTAACTGGTGTAGACTACTTTGTCCACTTTTGAGGTTTGAAGATAATTCACACCAGTGGTTAGTAAATTGCCAGTGCATTTTGGGAGATGCTGCATTCATAGTACAACAATTCAGAGAACCTTTTTCTAAAAAAACTTGTCGAGTCCTGAAAATAAATTTTCATCCTGCCATTGGTGGTGTTCTGAATCCCTCCTGGTTTTCATCCCATGGAGTCTGTATCATAAGTGAGTAGAGTGGGAACTTTCTTGGTGGAGTACAAAAATAATGCTCTGAATATCAATTATTTTAATTGATAAATATACAACTCTGATAGTGTCACTGACTCTCTTTTCCCCCAAAAATATTTTAGTCAAGGAAACCCTCAATTTAATGGACTTTGGAAATACAGGACAAAATCTGCTGGGTTAAAAGATTCAAAAACGATGGGCAAAATTTGCTGTTGCTATGATGTCGGCAAAACCTTCTTCTCTCAACCACAATCTTCATTAATGACTACCCACTCCCCCATTATTAATACATTAAATTGAGGATTTGCTGTATGCAATTCAAATGTCAGCACTTCTCATTACAAAACAAAATTAAATATTACAAGAAATGCTATAAAATAATGTCTATGTCTGATGTTTTTTAACAATGCAAACTGTTGGAAAAATAAATACAGTGGACCCCCGCTTTACGATCAGCTCCCAATGCGACCAATTATGTAAGTGTATTTATGTAAAGTGCGTTTGTACGTGTATGTTTGGGGGTCTGAAATGGACTAATCTAATTCACAATATTCCTTATGGGACCAAATTCGTTCAGTAATGGCACCTGAACATACTTCTGGAATGAAATAATATCGTAAGCCGGGGGTCCACTGTATTTTATAATGCCTGTGTCTGATGTTTTTTTAACAAATGCAGATTGTTGGAAAAATAAATATTTCCACATAATTACTTATTGAAATACATCACAGAGAAGTGATAATTTTTCAGATAACTTTTCATTATAGGGCAGGGTAGGATAACACTGTATAGGAATGAGGAGCCTAATATGGATGTGGGGAAAGTAAGTAAAGGACTGAAAGGGAGTGAAGCAGCTCTGATATGCCAGCAGCAACAGCCTGGTTGACCAGACAAGCCTGGCTCTGGGAGTAGGGAAAAAACTCTTGATACTCTTCAAAAGTAAGATGTTAAAAGCTGGTGGGGATAAAATGTTGGAGCAATTAATGTGTTTAATACATTGCTCATAAAAGTACACCGGCTCCCCTCTCAAATCACGACCACAAAATAGGTCATCCCCTGAGCTTTAAGACATCCTTCAACTGTATAGGAAGTGATTAGCACACATTCTTCAGGGCTTTGTGGGATAAATTTCCCAACTCACAGATGGCATCCGAAAGCCATGGGAGTGAGCTGATATCCTTCCCTTAGTAGTCCTCTCTATCTCAGCTCAGAGGTTCTCAATGGGATTTAAGTCTGGGGAGTTTCCTGGCTAATCATCAAAGAAGGGAACCTATAGTCACAAAGCCATCAACAGATTTCATGATGTGGCAAGGAGTACTGTTTTGTAAAAACCTTGCACCACACTTGGAGAAAGATTTGGGCAAATGATAACAGGCCAATTCTAGGTATACATTATTAATATTAATGGGGACATTTTTCTAGGATTCCCTAGATGTGCTTTTGGTGTGGACATGTCATGAACACTGTCCTCAAGGAACTGACACAACCAGGGCCTCACTGGATGCTCAGACACATCACTGGCTTCTAGTATTTCATTTGATAGCCTTCTTTATGTAAGCCAATAATCATAATTGTTTCCTGACTCAGCTACTCACTCTTGCCCATATTTAATATGAGTTGTACTAAAAGCAGCTAAGAGTTTTAATGGAGAGAGTGAGGCTTAGGTTAGGGTATTCAGGTGGGAGGGGGCTATTTCCCAATGAAAGAAGACAGGGATGCACAATGTCACCATGATTGTTTAACATATTTATAGTTTGGGTTGTGAAAGTAAATGCTAGGATATTGAGATAAACTGTGGGATTGAAAGATGTTGGATCTGATACCAAATGGGAGTTACCCCAACTGCTCTTGGCTGATAACAAAGTCCTTGTAGGGAATTCTGAAGGCAAATTACATAGGTTGGAAGATGAATTTAAATGGCTATATAAAAAAAGAAATTAAAAGTGAACATAGAAAAGAGCAGGGTGATAAGTGTGACAAAGAGTCTATTCAATGATTCCTTGAACATTATATGGAGGGAGTATGGAAGAAGTGGATGTTTTTAGATATTTGGAGTGGATAAGTTTATGAAAGATGAGGTGACCACAGAATAAGGAAAGTGGAACAGAATTCTTCCTCCGTAAGCATGCGTGTCATAAGAGGCTACTAAAATGCTGAGAGCAAGGGGCTAGTAACCACTTCTCCTGTATATATTACTAAATTTAAAAAAAGAAGCTTTTGTTTTTCCTATTGGGCCACCCCACCTTGGTGGGATACAGCCGGTGCATTGAAAGAAGAAAGAAAGATAATAAAAGGTGGGCTGTGTTAAAGAAAGAAGCCTATCTATGGAGACAAATAAAGTAATGTACCAGTGAATAGTGATATGAACACTTACATGAGTGTGAGGAATGGGTTTTGAATGTTGCAGTGAAAGGAGGCTAGAGGCAGGGAAGATGTCACATTTGAGAGCAATATGTGGTGTGAATATCATGCAGAGAATTTTGAAAGTAGAAATTAAAAAAAATCTCCATGGGGAAGTGGAACAGAATTCTTCCTTTGTAAGCCATGCGTGTCGTAAGAGGCGACTGAAATGCCGGGAGCACAGGGCTAGTAACCCCTTCTGTATACATTACTAAATTTAAAAAGTGAAGCTTTTTTCTTTTTTAGGTCACCCTGTCTCGGTGGGATATGGCTGGTTTGTTAAAAAAAAAAAAATAAAAATAAAAAAAAAAAGATCTGGGTTGACCAAGGATATAATTCAGAGAGCTGAGGAGGGATTGTTGAGGAAGTTTGGGCATACAGAAAGGATGGACAGCAAGTCTGACAAAGGAGTATAAATCTGAAGTGGAAGGTAGGAGAGGTAGGGATTATCCCAAGAATGTTTGGAGGGACAGGGGGTACAAGAGGCTTTGACTTTTAGGCCGGAGAATCCAGCAGGTTTGTGCTGGATAGGAGTGAATGAAGACAAGCGGTTCTTAATGGACATGCTGTTGGAGTGTAATCAAGGTAACTTTTATGAAGGATTCAAGGAAACCAGTTTGCTCTGCTTGAGTCTTGTAGATGAGAAGAGCAGTGCCTGTGCTCTGTAGGAGGGGAGGGAATAACATAAAAAAAAAAAAAGGCACAATACCGTGACTGGAACGGGGAGGGAATGTGGTCGGAGGGGTAATCTGACTGTGATGTCAGTGAACTTTAGGAAAGACGATGATTGAGTGAATGTTGGTAAACATGTTTTCTTTGGGTCACCCTGCCTTAGCAGGAGATGGCCACTGAGTTCATTTTTTTTTTTTTTTAAATTAACTTTTCATTATGCAATACTTAATTAACATTTACACATTAAAACCTACATCTGACATACTTAAAATATTTATAAACAAGTCAAAATTACTTATGAAACAAAGTTATTATCCCATGTTAAACCATACTCTTGAAACTCCTTTTACTTTTCCCAGCACTTCTTGATCCCTTTACTTCTATTTCTTCTGTGGCTCTTTTCTTTACTTTGACTCTATTTTTTCTGACTTTAAGTACAACTCCATTCAAGTTCCTTCCTTTCTTCTTAGTAAATTTTTCTCCTCCACCTTTTCTTCCTCTATCTTTAAAGATCCCTCTTCCTCTGCTATCTTTCCCTTTTTTTGTCTCCAGCTGAATCTGATCCATGGAAAATCCCCTTCTTTTTGGAGTTATATTTTGGTCTTCATTTTCATATGCCATTGTTATGCTTTCATCATCAGAACTTTCAACAACAACCTTCTCAATGATAAAGTTGGCATTCAAGTCATCAAGAGAAGCAGGAGGTACCTCAGAGCTCTTCACTCTGTTACCGCTTTCATTATCGTATTCCTCAGTGTCATCATAACTACCTTCGTCAATTCCTTCATCATCATCATTTTCTTCAATTTCTTTTCCTGTATCAACTTCCTCCCCACTATTTTCATCACTCTCACTATCATCCACTTCTAAAATTGAATCTTGAACTGATGCTCTAAGGTCTTCATCTTCCTCCTCCTCATCCTCCACTTTCTCCTCCTTCATCTCGGTGCCTTCTTTGTTGGCTGAAGAATAATATATATTTTGCAGTAACTCCAAATTATCCAATACTGGGGGCAGGTGAAAGTCTCTGCAAAGGCAAAAAAAAAAAAAAAAAAAAAAAAAAATGACTATAGTAAAGACAAATATTTTTAAGACATATGGCTTAAATTTTAGTCCTATTCTAGTTCTTATTCAATGGAACAGAATAACTGCATAAATCCTTAAGAGGAATAATATTCTATGGCAGCATTAATAAGGAATGCTCAATTCAAACAAGTCTTATTAAAAACTGATATTGTTAAGATGTTTCAAATGTTATCCACATGGTAAAAATCTACACAACAGGGCCTAGATTTGCAGCATTCTGAGTTATGATGATTCGCATCTACAACATTGGTATTTCGGAACCAATTAATTACTTATAAATGAGTGACACACTTGTGATATGGGTGTGAAGCGTGGGTGATGAATGTTGCAGCGAGGAGAAGGCTGGAGGCAGTGGAGATGTCATGTCTGAGGGCAATGTGTGGTGTGAATATAATGCAGAGAATTCGTAGTTTGGAAGTTAGGAGGAGGTGTGGGATTACCAAAACTGTTGTCCAGAGGGCTGAGGAAGGGTTGTTGAGGTGGTTCGGACATGTAGAGAGAATGGAGCGAAACAGAATGACTTCAAGAGTGTATCAGTCTGTAGTGGAAGGAAGGCGGGTAGGGGCGGCCTAGGAAAGTTTGGAGGGAGGGTAAAGGAGGTTTTGTGTGCGAGGGCTTGGACTTCCAGCAGGCATGCGTGAGCGTGTTTGATAGGAGTGAATGGAGACAAATGGTTTTTAATACTTGACGTGCTGTTGGAGTGTGAGCAAAGTAACATTTATGAAGGGGTTCAGGGAAACCGGCAGGCTGGACTTGAGTCCTGGAGATGGGAAGTACAGTGCCTGCACTCTGAAGGAGGGGTGTTAATGTTGCAGTTTAAAAACTGAAGTGTAAAGCACCCTTCTGGCAAGACAGTGATGGAGTGAATGATGGTGAAAGTTTTTCTTTTTCGGGCCACCCTGCCTTGGTGGGAATTGGCCAGTGTGATAATAAAAAAAATAATAAAAATACTTACAAAACTTAAAATAAACAAGAAACATCACTTCCATTGAGCAAGACAAGATCAATATTCAGGGTAAATACTTTATATAAAGTATGGTAAATACTGTAGTTAAATTATTTTGTTGTTTGAATAACATGTACACATTGTAGAAATATTGCTTTGTTGTGTATTTAATTGAAAATGCCTACTGATGGTAAAAGTTTGTTTGGGGAAATTAACTGAAATTAGATGTGAAAAATTAAGTCCCAAGAGAACATTAATAATCTGTTTCATACTTTATGAAAAAACGTTTTGAGTACCAACCATTCGACTTATGGTAAATTTTTGGGAATGCATTAGCATCACAAGTTGGGGCCATACTGTATTTTCTTTTATGGGTTCAATTACATGCATGTAGTGAAGTTACACAGCATGCGGAAAGAAAACCCAATTTCCAAAATTTTAAATAAATCTTGAGCTTACTTAAGATCTCCCCCAAGAGAGATGCAAGATGACATGTAGCTGAGGATAGAGGATGACTGGTGAAGGGCTGACAAACGACGAAGATGACGCTCTGTGTAGGGAAGAAGACCCTCCAGTGTCTGCTTCCATGCACCCAGTTCTTCGAGCTCGTCTGGTAGGTGAGTCTTGAGCAAAACATTTACGATGTTCTGTTGATTGAGAATGTGTATCACTATGCATTTATAAAAAGTGAAAAAAAAAAAAAAAAAAAAAAAAAATGCCTTATTGATAAATGTTATTAACCCTTTGAGGGTCGACAGGCCCTCTCCGAAACTCGTTCTCAGGGTCGGCCAAATTTAAAAAAAAAAAAAATTATTTTCTCTTATGAAAAAGATAGAGAATCTTTCCCGATCATAAAGACACCAAAAGTTTGAAATTTGATAGAAAACTTACGGAATTATGCTCTCGCAAAGTTAGCGGTCTCGGCGATGTTTACGCATCGGCGATTTTGCCCACTTTGAGCCCCATTTTCGGCCAATTTCACTGTACTAGTCGTCAAAAAAACATGAATATTTTTGCTAGAAAAATCCAATTTTTTCTATCGAATGGGTGCAAGAAACCACCCATTTATGAAATTCACTATCCAGTAAAAGTGGTCAGAATTTAGCAATTTTGCCAATTTCACACAAATTTCAAAAGATGCCAATTTCCGAATAGGGTCCAGAATAAAAAAGAAAGACATTCCTGGGACTAAAATGACATTTCCTCTAGTCCCTTAGTCACGTCTCAAGGCCCCTCTTATATTCTTTTGCTTTCCACTTTGAATTTTTATTCTCACAAAAAATATAAGATTTACTGTTATGCAGACTACTGCATTAGTGTAAAAAATGGTATAAATATTATTGGTGCACTTGTGAAAGAATATTAGACTCACCAGTTGACGTGTATTGCACGCTTGGCACGATTTGTTTACTTTTGAACTTGGTAAAAATCGAACATTTGTGCTACTTTGAGCTCAATTTCGAGGCACCTTTCTTTGTAAAACCAGTCAACATCATCTCAATTTCTGTAATATGTCTTCCTTTTCTAAAATGAGACCAAAGAAAACTAGAATACAACAATAAATACCATACGAAAATACACTGCAAAGTCGCTGATTTATTCCAAAAAAATGGTCAAAGTTTTTTTTTTCTCATTATGCACTGTGTGCTGCAGGATTTTTTTTAGACTGTGCACACTGACCACATAGACCCATTCTTTCATATGAAGGCCTACCAGCTTTCTCCCACTAGATTTGAGGCCGCTAGTATTTATGAGTACTAGTACGTCAAAAACCCCTACGCGTAAGACGTACTAGTACGACCAAAACCCTCAAAGGGTTAAAATCAGTGATACAGTATTACAAGGGACTACAATTTTTTCCAAACTCTGAAAGACAAAATTGATCCTAAAATCTCCTATGCTGATAAATCTAATAAACTGCTATTTCAATCACAAGCAATATGTGTAGACTGATCTACAACAGATCACATCATCATCTTTAACTTCCTATCTTAACCCTTTGGGGGTCGACAGGTCCTCTCAGAAACTTGTTCTCAGGGTCAGCCAAATTTAAAAAAAAAAAAAAATTTTTTTTCTTACGAAAAGATGGAGAATCTTTTCCCGATCATAATGACACCAAAAGTATGAAATTTAATGGAAAACTTATGGAATTATGTTCTCGCGAAGTTAGTGGTCTCAACGATGTTTACGCATCGGCGATTTTGCCCACTTTGAGCCCAATTTTCGGCCAATTCCAGTGTACTAGTCAACAAAAATCATAACTATTTCGCTAAAACTCCATTTTTTCTATTGAATGGGTACAAGAATAAACCCATTTACCGATTTCAACTATCCAATAAAGTGGTCAGAATTTAGCAATTTTGCCAATTTCACACAAATTTCAAAAGATGCCAATTTCTGAATAGGATCCAGAATAAACAAGAAAGACATTCCTGGCACTAAAATAACAAGTTCTTTGTTCGTTAGTCACATCCCCAGGCCCCTCTTATATTTCTTTGGCTTTCCACTTTGAATTTTTATTCTTACAAAAAAAAAAATAAGATTTACTGCTATGCAGACTGCTGCATTAGTGTAGAAATGGTATAAATAATATCAGCGCACTTGTGAAAGAATATTAGACTCGCCAGTTGATGTGTATTGGACGCTTGGCATGATTTGTTTACTTTTGAACTTTGGTAAAAATCGAACATTTCTGCTACTTTGAGCTCAATTTCAAGGTACTTTTCATTGTAAAACCAGTCAAAATCATCTCAATTTCTGTAATATGTCTTCCATTCTATAAAATGAGACCAAGAAAACTAGAATACAGCAATAAATACCATACGAAAATACAGTGCAAATGTCGCTGTTTTAATCCAAAAACACGGTCAAAGTTTTTGTTTTTCTCATTACGCACTGTGTGCTGCAGGATTTTTTTTATACTGCACACACTGACCACATAGATCCATTCTTACATATGTAGGCCTACCAGCTTTCTCTCACTAGATTTGAGGGCGCTAGAATTTAGGCGTACTAGTACGTCAAAAACCCTGGGTCGTAAGACGTACTAGTACACTTCCAAAACCCCCAAAGGGTTAAGTGTGGGAATTTAAAAAAAAAAAAATCCTACATTGGAAATTTAAACCATTATTACACCCCCAAGATAACTTCTTCTTTCTATACTGCATATAAAGTCTATTGCAATGTTAGGTAGGAAAAGAAGAATGTTTTTAAAATTATACAGAAATTGCAGACAGTGCACCATGCACAGAGTGGAGAGTAATAAGAGAATTATGAAATAATATACAGTAGGCCCTCATATTACATGTATTTATTTGGCACATTTTGGTTATTACACTTGAAAAACTGTGGCATAATTTTATACAACACTTCATAAAATTAACTTAGCACAGTTCAGTTTGCGGGAGGGGAAAAAACTGGGTGAATCGCCGGCAGGATATTTTCCTAGCTCAGGTTGCTGCCTGGCTGTGGGCGAGACCACTGTTTACGCGGGGCTGCACCGGGATTCAAGACAGCAAATTATTGCTTCACCTTGCTCCTTTGCAGTAATGCATCAGGTGATTTCAAGTGTAAGCCCATGATTATTTGCCACTCTGAGAATCCTCATGCTCTGAAAGGTGTAGATAAAAACACCTTACCAGTAATTTAGAGGTCAAACAAGTCAGCATGGATGACAGAGAAAATATATATTGACTGGTTTAACCCTTTGACTGTTTTCGACGTATAAATACGTCTTACGAGCCAATGTTTCTGACATATATACACTCAATAATTCTAGCGGCTTCAAATTAAGCGGGAGAAAGCTGGTAGGCCCACATGTGAGAGAATGGGTCTGTGTGGTCAGTGTGCACCACATAAAAAAAATCCTGCAGTACACATTGCGTAATGAGAAAAAAAAACTGATCATTTTTTTTGGAATAAAACGCCGACCTTGAGGTGTATTTTCGTATAGTATTTATCGTTGTATTCGCGTTTTCATGGTCTTAGGTGATAAAATGGTTAACATATTACAGAAATAGAGATGATTTTCATTACTTTGACGATGAAAACGACCTTGAAACTGAGCTCAAATTAGCGGAAATGTTCGATTTTTACCAATGTTCAGGAGTAAACAAATCACACCACACGTCCAATACACATCAACTGGGGAGTCTAATATTCTTTCACTAGTGCACTGATATTATTTATACTATTTTTACAATAATGCAGTAGTCTGCATAACAGTAAATTTTGTATTTTTTTGTATGAATAAAAAATCAAAATAGAAAGCAATAATAATATAAGAGGGGCCTAGAGATGTGACTAATGAACAGAGGATATGCTATTTTAGTGCCAAGAATGTCTACCTTGTTTATTCTGGACCCTATTTTGAAATTGGCATCTTTTTAATTTGCGTGAAATTGGCCAAATTGCCAATTTCTGACCACTATACTGGGTAATTCAAATTGGTAAATGGGCGTTTCTCGTACTCAGCTGATAGATAAAATGGAGCTCTAAAGAAATAGCTATGAGTTTGGTCAACTGGAACAACGAAATTGGCTGAAAACAGGGTTCAAAGTCGGCGAAATCGCCGATACACATATGTCGCCGATTCCGCTAACTTCGCGGGAGCGTAATTCCATGAGTTTTCAACCAAATTTTGAACTTTGGTGTCATTGCCATCGGGAAAAGATTCTCTATCATTTCATAAGAAAAAATAATTTTTTTTTTCGAATATTTGGCGACATAGAAAGACAGTTTCAGAAAGGGGCCTGAAATTGTCAAAGGGTTAAGCATCACTTTATTCCTGAAGTCAAGTTTTATTTGCACAGCAAGAACCTTGGATTCAAGGCTCTCTTCATTCTTGATAATTCCCGTACTCATCCAGAAGCTTTGCTGAATGTAACCCCACATGTAAAAGTTGTATTTTTACCTCGAATATAACATCTTTAATACAACCACTGGATCGGGGAGTTATTGAGTTATTCAAGTGTAGCTACACAAGAAAAGTGATGAAAATACTAGTTGCATCAGTGGACTGACTCCAACCTGGCAGTACAAAGCTTCCGGAATAATGTATAATGTATAACATACTGCAGGATAAAAAGAAGCCAAAAATCCATTACAGAATTTATGTACACTTCAATGCAACCATCGACTTTAATACGAGAACCTCAATCATCCACTTCTGCCGACAACCAACAACCATTCACCTCAGCCCAGTAGGGCCATACCATACATCTCCACTCTCTTCACAATCACTGACATACACCAGCAACCACAATTTAAGGTAAATAATAATATTTCTGTTGCATTTGTAGTCTTAAGCAACAAAAAACATTATCATTTTAATTTTTGTAAGATCTGGATGTCTAAAAAATAAGTTGTTTGGCTTTTGGGGGGGTCCCCAGGAACGTAACCCTATTTTCCCTGTAAGCTCTTCAGTTTGTATAACACAGATTTATCGAACACGGCATTTTCAGGGATGTAACTACTGTGTAATGTAAGGGTCTACTGTATTACAGGCAGGCCCCACTTATACAGCAAGTTAGATTCTGGGCTACTGCTGTAAAGCAAAAATCGCTGTGAAGTGAAAGTCTTTTTTCACTTTCAAATCCATATATAAGCCTAATAACATATTTATACTTTCATGTATTAAGCAGTAGAG